CATGTACAAAAGCCCCGAAGGAAAACAAGTAGATTTTTTTTGCTAACGCGGTCTCGAAAGCTATGCGGGCGGCAGTTGGTATAACGACAGATCACAACACATGCGAGCAACATTTCAGTCAGTTAGTTCCCAGTACTTCCAGAAAAAAACTAAATTCGGGTTTCTTGCGCACCGGTAGTTTTGTATAGAAGATCCTCCACGGTCCATCTTCGAAGCTGTGAATAAATAAATAGAAATCGTCGAGTTTGATTGGCATGAGAGCACTGCCTTGGTTGTCCAGGAATTAAATATCGCTCAAGAAACAGTTAAGAACCACTTGGGTGTCACATGAGTTAACGAGAAAAAACCGCATGAACTTGATTTCCATCTACGAGTCGCTGCAGTGAGGCGGCACAAACGGTCTCCAAGCAGGGATTGACAGAATTGGAAGACTTTTTTTGGGAGTTTGATGGGCATGGCAAAAAAATCATTCATTATGAGACGCTTCTCTACAGCCGGATCTCTAATTCGGCCCCCTACTGCTACCGATTGGACCGTTTGAAGGAAACACTCGACTAGCTTTGGCCAAACAGGAGGGGAATTGTGGCTTATCAGGACAACACCAAACTATACACATCAATATGGACTCGCCAGATGCTCCGCGAGCTTGGTTAGGAGGTTATTACGCATCCGCCGAACTACGCACCAAGTGATAATTATATGTTCCTATATATGGCCAGGTATACGACTGGTGAAGAATTAGCTTCAAGAGAAGCCTGTGAAAATCTTTTGAAACTTAAAATCATCGAAGTCAGAACACAATATCAGAAATCGCCCTACAACCGATCTTTCTGATCAGTGGAATTGTTTTAATTTGGTTTGTTTAATGGAATTTTGAGAAAGAATTACTAAACTGAGAGGAACTTCACCTTTGAATGAGAAAAACTTCAAATAATTTTCAAAATTACTAAGTGCACAGTCGCAGCATCATTCGCACAAATTTTTCTCAAAAGTTCCCACGCACATTTCTCCCCTCGTCTAAATGTCCATCATTATGGTCATGCAATGCATCACTCTTGTTCGTATAAAATTTTAATATGTCATGTCATCTGGATTAATTCCGTCAAGTTTAAACACTCCATTCCACTACCAACCAGCGGTATTAATGTTATTTGCATCAGTGAGCATAGCATCACACGCAACGGAATCATCATCAAAAGGGAAGAGAATAATTGAAAATATCATTGAATTCCCATACATCGAATGCTGCCGCTGCCACTGATGCTTTGCTTGAGAGGTCACGGCGAAGGTGCAAAAGTGGTTGTTGGTTGTGCACTTTTCCAAGCGAGTATATCACCGACTTGTTGTTGTTATATTTGCTGTAAATATTGTTTGTTTACCACCTACAATATGCTGATGCCACCGACTGATGAACTTTTGATAACTGTTAAATCAACCCTTGATTGTTATTACACTTTTTATTATTTATTGCATACAAACATGCCTATATACACGTACACACATATTCACCGATTATTTTCACTGTGGGGTGGCAAGTGTTTTGGGAAGAAACATGAATGGTCATCAAAGTGGAATAAATATGAGCTGTGGGTGCGCATTCATATGGGCTTATACTATATGCACATATACATATATACGCATGTATGTACTCGGATAATTAGTTCTTTTGTCTGTTTGTTGTCATGTCAAGCATTTTATTGTTCAGTTTCTTATTACTTAATTTGTTGTGGGAAAAAGTTTCCCATAGCATTTGATTGCTTCTGTTATGAACCTTGTGTGATATATCTACATATGTACATACATGCGTACATGTATATGTCAATACGTATATTACTCAATTATTGATGAATAGGTGAGAAGAAACTGCGTTTTGACATTCAAAATTGGAAAAGTTTGTATTTCACATTTGCTCTCTCTCCTGCTGATTTTCTAAATATGCACATATGTATGTATATATTGTAATATAAAAGCGTGAAGTTCAATGGCATGGTGGAGTAAGGCAAAAAAAGTTTTCAAAAAAATAATTAAAAAAAAAAATAACAGATAACAAATACATAAAATAAAATAAAATAACATAAAACAAAATAAAATAAAAAAAAAAAAAAAACAAAATAAATTAAATTAAAACAAAATAAGAAATATATTAATATAACGTAATATAAAATATACTAAAACTAAAAAAAAAAAAATGAAATAAATAAACAAGGTAAAATAAAAGATATTAAATTAAATCAAATTGTATAAAGTAAAAGAATAAAATAAAACAAAAAAAAAGAAAAATAAAAAATAAACTAAAATAAAATAAAATTATGCAAACTAAATTAAATTAAAATAAAATAAGAAATAAATTAATATAAAATAATATGAAATGAACTAAAACTAAAAAAAAAATTAAAATAAAATTAATAAACACATAAATTAAAAAATATTATATTAAATCAAATTGAATAAAGTAAAAAAATAAAATAAAACAAAAAAGTGAAAAATAAAAAATATACTAAAATAAAATAAAACCTTAAGCAAAAATAAAATAAAATAAAATAAATAATTATGAAATTAATTAAATTATGCAAAATAAAATGAAATAAATTCAAATAAAATATATTAATCTTAATTAATAAACCAAATAAATTTAAATAAATAAGCACAACATTAAGAAAATAAAGTAAATAAACATAAAATTAAATTAAAACAAATTGAATTCAATAAAATAAAATAATATAAAGTGAAATTAAATAAAATAATAATAATAAAAATAAAATAAACAATGTGAATTAAATCAAATCAAAATAAATAAATAAATAAACAAAATGAAACGAAAAAAAATCAAGTAAAATTAAATTCGATAACACAAAATATAATGAAATGAAAAAAAATTAAAATAAAATAATATAATATTATTTAATGAACTAAATAAATTTAAATAATTTTAAATAAATAAACACAACAGTCAGAGGATAAAGTAAAGCGAAGTAAAAAAAAAGTAACATAAGATAAAATTTAAATTAATTAATTTAAAAAAAAAAATATAAAGGGAATTAAATTAAATTAAATTAGTTAAATAAAACTAATGAAATAAAAGGTGAATTAAATCAAAATAACCTAAAACTAATCAAAATATAATAAATTAAAACAAAAAATATCAAATAAATTTAAATTCAGTCAAACAAATTACAATAAAATTAAATTATATAACAAAATGAAATAAAATAAACTAAAAACCGTTAAATTATGTAAAATAAAATAATATAAATTAATATAAAATAAAATGGAATCAAATAAAATAAAATAAACCAAATTAAAATAAAATTATGTATAATAAAATAAAATAACTTAAAAAAAATTAATACTAATTAATAAACTGAATAAATTCCAATAATTTTAAATAAATTAACACAACAATAAGAAAATAAAGTGAAGTGAAGTAAAATAAAATAAAATAGAAAAAATATATTAAAATAAATTAAATTCAATAAAATAAAATAAAATAAAATAAAATAAAATAAAATAAAATAAAATAAAATAAAATAAAATAAAATAAAATAAAATAAAATAAAATAAAATAATATAAAATGAAATGATATAAAATAAAATGAAAATAAATTAAATTCAATAAAAAAATTATTTAAAGTGATATTAAATTAAATTAAATTTGCTTAAATTGAATAAAATGAATAATTTGAAGTAAATCAAAACAAAATTAACTAAAAATAATAAAATAAAATGAAAATAAAAAACAAATCAATCCAAATTCAATCACACAAAATACAATAAAATTGTATTAAATACAACAAAATAAAATAAAAAGATAAAAACAAACTATAATAAAATCGAATTAAAAAAATTAAAATGAAATAATGTAATATTAATTAATAAGCTAAATAAATTTAAATAATTTCAAATAAATAAACACAACAATAAGTAAATAAAGTAAAATGAAGTGAGTTAACATAAAATTAAATTAAAATAAATTAAATACAATAAAATAATATAAAGTGAAATTATATTAGTTTATATTTAATCAATATATTATAAAAAATAAAGAAGATGAATTAAATCAAAACAAAATAATATATAACTAATCAAAATATAATAAAATAAAACAAAAAAAATCAAGTAAAATTAAATTAAATCAAAACAAAATAAAATAAAACAAAGTAGAAAATGTAAATTAATATAAAATAAAGTATGTAAAATATAATAAAATGAAAATAAAACGAAATGAAATAAAACAAACTAAAATAAAACAAAATTTTATTAAATAAAATGAAAAAACTTTTGTCAACTTTCTTTTCTTTTTATTCACAAAATTCCAATAACATTTTTTTTGTAATTCCAATCAATAACAAAAAATTCTTTTTGCCTCGGCTAACACCATTCTGCAACCCCAAATGTTGCCATGATTTGTTATGAATAGAAAAAGTATAGGGTATACATATGTATATATGTATGTGAATATGTATATCTAGATTTAATACAATATTTTTTATTTATTTATTGATGAATATTTTTAATTTAAAAGTAAATTTTATTAATATTTAGTAGTAAAAATAATTAATTACGCAATTAATTACAAAATATACAAAATTTATAAGTTTTACATATAAATTCCAATACTTACAATTAAACAAAAAATTAGTTATTTTTATAAATTGTGTACGAAATCAATATTTAATAATTCTACATTTTTCGTTTTCTAGTTCTCCTAAAATAAATAATAGAAGCAGTTAAAAAATATAACTAAATTAAAATTTGCTAACTTTGATCGACCATAAATAAATAGCCAAGAAAAAGGGTAAGCAAATAAATATTAATTTTGAAACAACCTTTCGGCTTCACAACAGAATTTTATAAATATTTTTTATAAATTTTTATCTTTGGCAAATTCATCATAAAGTTTTCCATAAACATTTGCAACTCTGCGCATTATAATCGAAGTGCGTCCAAAGAACTTCTACCGACGAGTAACGGTGCATTGGTTTCCTCGCTATAATCAAATGACTTAGCATTCCTTTCCATCCTTGGTGTTTTTGGTGTTATTTGTGTTTCTGAGTGTTTTGTGAAAATTAAAAAAATTAAAATATTTAATGAAAGAAACAAGTAAATAAATATGACTGATTTTGAAAGGTGAAAATAATTAAGCATGAAAATATAAAAATTAGACATTAGATGACATTTATTATAAAAAGTTGAATTTTTTTTAAACATTCGCTCAGCAGATACATATGTACAAACATACGTAAATATGTACTTGAGGTTATGAATTTTCGGGCAATAGTAAATGTAGAATTTTTCAATTAAAAAAATTAATTTTATTTATATACATACATGTGTACATAAAATTATTTTAACATATTTTACTCCCAATCAAAAAAAAAAACATATGGAAAAATATAAAAAATAATTAAAAACCTTATCTTCAAGACAATTAAATGCAAGTGTAAATACATGCATATATATGTACATATGGATGCATATGTACATATATATAATGCCCACCAACATACGCCATTGAATCACAGCAATGGCTGTGTCATAAACAAATCCTGCCTACACAACAAACACACATGAAAATCTCATAACCAGCAAACCACCCGGAACAGAGACCTGCTGGCGAAGAGAAAGAGCATGTGAGCGCAAGAGCAGGATTGCACCATTGCGTAGACAACTATTAAGATTGAAAACTAGTTGTACATGAAGTCGATGTCGACGCTGGCGCTGGTTTCGAACAGGCAATTGAGTAGCATTTGAGAGTTATTTATAATACTAAACTACCATAAATTATTTATTTAGTTTTTCTTCTTCTTCTTTTCAATTCAATGCTAGCACAGTGTGCCGTGTCAAAGGATCTGCACACATTTATATTGGAGAGAGTGAGAGTGAGGGTAAAAATACACACCCCATGACGACTTGGTGATAGCCAATGAAAGAACTCAAATAGAAGAGAGATGTTCAGCGACGGCGAATTCAAATTGTGCTAATCAGAACGGACATACATACATATATATGCCAATACAATATAATGAACTCTGAGGACTCTCACTAGAAAACATAATTAACCGTTAATAACCTGTGCGATTGAGAAATGACATTGTTTTAGCTAAATTAAGATCGTTACAAAATAATTAGTGAAAAAACTATAATTTATACAAAAGTTACAATTTAAAGAAAAACTAAAACCAAAAGTGTCCTAAAAGCAAAGCTGTAAATTTCACAAAAAAAACTAAGACTTTTACAAGTGAATTAAAAATCCAAAGCAAAAAAATTTACTACGAGACTTTTGCACACAAAAAAAGTACAAATGGAGAAGGATCCGCAGAAGCTGCAAGCGCTAATTGATATCGCAAAAGTGAATATGGATAAACGCTACAACAATCCATCATCACCACCCTCAAGTAAGCACCCTCGTCTTTGAAACTAACAACAAATCGTATTCAGTAAATGCCAACAGCCGAAAAGCGCAATGCCGCCGCAGTGGACGCCCAGCAATTAGCACCTCGACATAATGGAATATCTAATTTGAGGGCGTTTTAACCTACTGCTGCTATGTGATGCTTAACAGCTACCGTTCGTAGTTGCTTTCAATAAATAATTTTACTAATAATTTTTGTTTTCCTCTCTTTCTCTCGCCCAACAGGGATTCTCTACAATATCGCATGCGAAGTTTGCCGTGATCACAGTTCTGGTAAACATTACGGAGTTTTCGCCTGCGATGGTTGCGCTGGATTCTTCAAACGTTCCGTACGCCGTGCGCGTCAATATGTATGCAGAGCTAAAAATGGTGGATCCTGTATTGTCAATAAGACAAAGCGCACTCAATGCCGCGCCTGCCGTTTGCGCAAATGTTTAGATGCTGGTATGAATAAGGACTCCGTACAACATGAACGTGGAACACGCAGCGCAACAATGCGTAAATATGCTGAAATCTATAAAGATGTATTCGGCTCGCAGGAGATGCCACCGGAATATTTGTATGAAACAGGCCAGATGCCGTTTCATCCTATGTTCAAGGGACCAATCCTGACACCATTACCGCCACCACCAGGAGCAACGGCACCAGAAGTAGCGGCACCCGGAGCAACAGCAACATCAGCCGAGCTAGAAGTGGCAGGAGCAGTAGTACCACCGACGTTAGCATCACTACCCGTCCCAGTTCCGGCACCAGTTCCATTGGCACACATGCCACCACATTTGGTACCACAACACCTGCAGCATTTCCAACAAGCACAACTTGCTGCCTTACATCTCCAAAATCCACATGTACAACAGTTCCATCGCAGCCATCCATATGCCCAACATGCGGAGGCACAAGCACAAGTCCATGCCCTGGCACAGGCGCAGGTACAGGCGCAGCCCCAGGCAATGGCAATGGCAACTGCCCAGACGCAAGCAAATGGCCAAGCGCCAACTCAGCATCAACAACAACCTCATCATTTGCTCCCTAATCCATTTGATACCCAAGCGGTTTTGAATTTAACAATGGCTGCAAGTGTTGCTCAACACGGCTTTCATCCCTTCAATTTCTTCGCACCCAATCCGGGTTTTCCTGGCGTGCGCGCACTGCCACCAACACCACCGCTGATGCTTAATGAGAATATTAAAGAGGTAGCTGCGGAGCAACTCTTCAAGAACGTTAGCTGGATTAGAAGCATAAACGCATTCCAGGAGCTATCGTTGAATGATCAAGTCCAATTGCTGGAGAATTCGTGGAAGGAGTTCTTCGTACTGAGTATTGCTCAGTATTTGCTGCCAATCAATTTCCAACATCTAGTCTTCGTCTACGAGACAGGCCATCCGGGTTGCGAAATGGTGAATGTGGTCAAAGCTGATGTGCTACACCTGCAGGATGTATTGAACAAAATCTGTCACATGAATATGGATTGCAATGAATTCGATTGTTTACGTGCACTATCGCTTTTCCGCAACCCAGCCGCTCAGAGTGAGGATTCGGAAAATAACTCTTCCGGTACGGGTGACAGCAGCCAGAATTCGAGTACATCGGACGAGTCGCGAGGTCTCGATGAGTCGGCAAAGATATGTAATCTCTATGAGAATGTTCGGAAAACACTGCAAATCTACGTTTCTACTACATATCCGACGCAAGTGTCACGTGTCCAAGTATTGGAGAGCTTGGTGCCGCTACTCAGCGATGTGTCGACGTTCATGCTCGAAGAATTGTTTTTCCGCAAGACAATCGGTGAGGCCAATATCGGTTGCGTGCTCGCGGATTTTTTTCGTAAAAATAAGATATAATGGACACGCATCATCCCTAGCTGGGACTATCGTGCTAATATTAATATATTTATTTATAAAAATATATATATATATATATATCCTCGTTTAGGCGTTCGTTTTGCGCCAACGCACACTCTTAGTGCCTTTTCACTATTCAAATAGTGCCGGAGACTGTGATAAGCTTCGCATACGTTGATTTGTATGCGCAACAACAGTGCCTTTAAATTTATATTTACACATATGCACATATAGAAAGTGGTAAGGAGTTCGTTTCTCGCCAAGAAAAAAATGGCTTTCGTTATTTCACTAAAATTGTGAATTCGAATTAAAAAAAATTTTATATAAAAAATTTAAAAAATAAAAAAACAAAAAAAATTGTAAAATCAATGAAAAATATTAATAAAAAAAAGAAAAAAAATTAGCTCGAATAAATCAAAAATAGAATTAAACATGTATTAAACCCAAACATAAACACAAATTACATTGAATCATATTATTGCAATATTTGCGACTGTATTTAGCATTACATAATTGCATATTTACACACATACACAACAAGTACCTCGGACTATTTCACGCAAGTCTAAAAGCGTTTGTGAAACATTTTTTTTTTTATTTTCCTTCGATAATCGTAGAACAAATCAAATCAACACTTTTTTTTTACCAAATATATATTTATGTAACTGTAATATTTCAGACAACCTTCAATTGTAGTATCTATTCCAAAAGTCTTGTATTATTGTAACACATTGTAAGAACTCAAAAACTCGAAAAAAAGCAAAATTATCAAAATATTATATGTACATATGTATTTCATTACGACCGAATTACAAACAAACATTCACAATAAACGCATACATACATCTCACATGCACCTCCTTATTCAAATTTATCTTGTTTTATTGTGATATCAGGCGAACATATAAAACATTTAATAAATATAATGTTTGAATTCAAGTTAGTGTAACTAGTTTTGAAAAAATAAATTTAAAAAAGTAAAAATATATAATAATTTTAACGAAACAGTTCTTGCTCACTCAACGAATGCTAAGAAAATGAAAGGCCTGCGCGTCATGAGTGCTGAAGTGAAGTGTGAAACTTCAATGACGAGCAGTCTCCGTACAGGGGAGTACAACTTTTGATTTACTATAAGCTCCCCTACGCTACCTCCAAACGATGATTTGAGTTTTGTTAAAATTAGGTGATTACGGTGGCTGTTCGATAATAAGTGCTTGTTGGCCCGAAATTAATTTAGGTGGTATTTGCGTTATTGCGGCGAAAACTCTTTCTTCAATTCAGGTATATTTCAACAAACTTACTTTCCTTAACGCCGCCCAACTTTTCGATGATATTCTTTATTTTACCGTCCGATCTTCTGTAAAAAATTCCAAGCACTCAGCCCCACGATAATTAAAGGGAATAGTCAAAACGGACAACTATGATTTGGTTTTATTCGTTTTCAGCTCAGTTGGAGGACGGCATATCGACGTTGGTCGACTGGTTTGTACATGAAGCTTATAAACCGTGGACTCATCAATTATTACAAAGTGTTTCTGAATTGATTGGACTTCTTGCTATTGAGTTTTCGAAGAAATTTTAGGTCTCAATATCCAAACAAGAAAAAACGAAATAATTGCACTTCATACAAGAAAGAAGAGAGCTCCTTTTGGCCATGTCTTTCCTCTCATGACCATTTAAGATTCTCGGTGGTTCATTTTTGAATTCATTATTAATTCTCATAACTGAAAATTTGGTTGGATATGATGAAGTTTTCCGAATTGGATTACTTTCGGTGTCAATGTTTATTTGTAAATATTTGTGTAGAACACTCAATCTCTAAATTGTAGATGCTATCTTTACGTATTTTTGACCAAAGTCTTATTTATTAACAAATCTGTGTATCGGCGCTATATGTTAAAATCGTTCGATTACTTTATTTTACAATTCTAAAGTATAATTTATCATATATATATATATAAATAGCATACTAATTTTTATAATCTGAGATACTCTGAGATCCAAAATCTTATATCAGAAAAACCGGTCGTTTATATGCTAGAGTGGTTCGAACCGATTCCGAAAAATGATCGTTTAAATGTACCAGTGCATCTGTGTGCCAAACGTAGTAGAAATATCTCGAGAGCAGAGGAACTAGTTGATGGACCGACGGAAATGGACCCAATCGGCTTAAAATTCTTATTGGTCTCTCCCATAACCTTCTGGTGCTTACATATTTCGAATCAAAGTCAATATAATGTACCATTTTAAGTGCATGAAAATGAAATTTGTAAAAATTATTGGGTTTCAATCGGATCGTTGTGCGAGAAGGATATTTTATAAAATTCAATTAAATTATTTTCATTAATATTCCCATTATTTGTAATAAACAATTAAATAGTACATAAAAATAAAAATATTCTCTTATATTTTTTTGAAACATCCACAGTCATATACATGCATACGAGGTGTTACAATAAAGTAATGAGACTGATTATATTCCCAAGATTGTGGTGTCCGTGTGACCTTGAAATTCCCTCTCGCTTCTCCCAGTGTCCTTCTCCTCTCCATAGATATATTTGCGGTCGCTCTAGCTTGCTAGGTTTGCCTGCTGTATCGTGTTGAGTAAACTTGTGTTCGGGGAAAACGATCCCACGCAGGCGATGAGAGCTGATTTTTACAATACGACCAGAAAACCAAATGCCAAAGCTCACAATGGTTGTCTCTGCACGCGCCCCGCCCGGAAGAGTTCGTCAGGGGAATGGGGAAAACTCACTAGTCACTCTATCAATAAAAAAAAAAACCCCAAAGCAGGAAATAAATATTACATAAATTGTGTAATTTTAATTTTCATACCTAAAATAAAAAAATATTGGATTTGTTCTTAATAAAATATTTTAGTGAAATTCCAATTAAAGGGGCGTCGTTGCTCCTAAAAAATACCCAAAATTTCGCTAAAAATTTGTTTCTAATCATCTTTGTCAGGATGACGGGTTGAGCTGAGTTGTCCATTTGTCCATCTGTTTGTACGTAAACTAGGCATTTTTGGAGATATTTTAACTAAACCTCGTAAGCGGATATGAATCATTTGCCGGAACTCTCCAGATCCATACAACCGATTAGCTTAGAAGTGCGATTTTAAGCAATTATATACCTCAATAAATCTTAGAAGAATGTGTTATTATTATTTCATTATCGTTTTTTTTTTTTCAAATTGGTTTATTTTACTTTGGTTTACTGTTTTATTTTATTATTATATTTTTCGATTGAATTTTCTTTTTTGTTTTAATTTTTAATGTTTGATTTTATTTTTTAAGAAAATTTTGAAGACCTTCGAATGCTTGTGGAAGTTAATGGATAACGTGTGCCCACCCATAAGTCATGCAGAGAGTGGTTTCAACACTTCAAAAGTGATGATTTTAGCAACGAAGACAAAGAGCATACTGGTCAACTCAAAAAAGTTCGAAGATGAGGACTCTACATGAAAGGAAAAGTGATAAGCTATTATAACCCCAAGAGAAAAAAAATACTATGCCAAGCCTGGTGAACCCATTCCATCATCGTCTTCTGGATGATCGACTTCAAAGAAAACAAACACGGTTCAAATGTCATGCTCTGCTTATGGTTCGACCAGACGAATGTGGTGTACTCTAAGCGGCAAAAACCAGGCGAAACGATTGATGCGAAACGTTGTGGACTACAACCAGCGCATTTGACTCACGCATTATGTGAAAAATGACCATGAATGGCCAGGAAAAATGAAAAGGTGATTTTGCAACACAACAACACTTGATTTCACGTGTCTTTAACCATGATAAACTGCCTGGAAACGCTGTAATGGAAGATCTTATCCCAGTCGTCATATTCTCCAGACTTTGCACCGTCCGACTACTGACTTTTTCAACAGATGCAAACAAAAAAAGTGGTATGCCAGCATCTCGAAACTTTTGAGTAAATAAAATGAAGAATATCACAATGATTGGATCCATTCATTTTTTAGAAATGGTATTCAAAAATTACCAGAAATTCAAGGAAACGGCCTAGTTACTTTTTTTAATGATATATTTCAGTTTTTTTTATTTTACTTTTTCCAATAAAATGCACTTTTTTTGAACACAAAACAGTATTTTTTGTTTTCCAATAAATTTTTGTTAGATTTATACAAATCAATTAATTTCTTTTAATTACCTTTTATTCTTATTTTTTTCGTTTTAAAGGGTGATTTTTGTGGTTCTATGTTAAATCTAATGACTACAAGCTCACTTCGATTGACGCATTGTAGGAACACATTGAGGCATTCATTCATGAGATACCGGCCGAAATGTTGGAAAGAGTACGTGTATGCCAAAATTGGACTAAGCGGATGGACCATTTGAGGCGCAGTCACGGTCAACATTTGCATGAAATAATCTTCAAACATTAAATTATATGGACCATACAATCGACTCAAATAAAGATTTCATGCATTTTTTCTGAATTTTATGTGTTTTTTTTTGTTTTAAACTTTCTTATAGCTCTTAAAAAATCACCCTTTATATCCATATTCGTTGCAAGTAATTTCTGATTCTGATTTTCTGACCGTTTTGATTTTACTATTTTTTTTAGGTAACAAAAAATTACTTCAAACTAATTTGATTTTCATTTCATGCGCCAACAAATCGAAATGAAGCCAAAGTTGAAAGGCAGGCATGCGCTTTTTTGACTTTCTCCGCCACATAGTCAACAATGTAGAAGCGGATATAAATGTGAATTCATTACTGTGTGTTTGTGTGCGTATGTATTCTTTTCCTTTTTCTAATCAGCATATTTACACTGTGTATGTATCACAGATCCTTCCATCTGCTTTAAGCCTTTTGATTTGCCTGCAGCATTTCGTATTCGCATTGAATGCCTCACTCGCATGCGCATAGACCAAAGCCAAAAAGGACATACGCAGAAATTATAGTTGGTTGAGTGAATAATACAAATAACCAAATAGAATAAATGGAATAAATTGAATTGTCGACTGACGATTGTTGGCTTGTTGGTGTGTGTGCTGGAAAAGGTGGAGAAGCATTTGCAATCTCGATTTTTCAAACACTTATACCAGGGCAAATTGCTCTTGTCTATGAAGAGAAATGCGTAATGTAAACAAATGCCAACAACAACATTCAACTTAAGAAACGAACAACAACAACAACAATTGTGAACTATTTTTGAGTGCATCACCCTAAAACATTTTGTGTTCCACCCAACCCATTGCGACTGATAGCTCTAACGCCGCGCAGCTCCTTTCTACTTCCGACGGCTGATTTGAGATAGCGTAGTTGTTGTTATTTTTTCATTATAACTAATGCAGGGATTTTGTGTTAA